AAATAAAATAAAATAAAATAAAATTAAATAAAATAAAATAAGATAAAATAAAAAAAAAATAAAATGAAATAAAATAAAATAAAATAAAATAAAATAAAATAAAATAAAATAAAATAAAATAAAATAAAATAGTAATTAAATCAATAATTAAAAATAATTTAATTATATTAAAAAATTAAAAAGAGAAAAAAAATTATAATATAAAGTAAAATAAGATCATTTAAAATATATTAAAATATATAGCTTTAATACTATGAAGGATATTTTTGTAATAGGAAAGCAAAGTAACTATTTTTTTAAATTAATTATTAGCGCTCGCTTTAAGTTATTAAATTTCAGTAGTATTTGTTCCTTGGAATCCCCCTGTCATAGCCCAGTCCCTTCTACCAAATTTATCCTTTCATCATAACCTCCAACCCTAATAGCCAGCCACAATTTGGTCGCGAATTGCAAGAGGGAGTGAAAACAAAACGAAAATTGGCTTGTCTGACAAATTTCATCAGCTAAAGACACGTAGCTAATAGATCACTGCAGTTGTCAATGCTCACTCACAGACACGGGTGTAATGCTTCTTCAGCTAAACACAACCGCAGAATGCGTTGAATGCGAAGATGAAGAGAGAGAAAGGCAGAGATTAAGAAAAGAGAAATGTTCACAGCCAGCGTGTAACACGTGTACTGACGCGTTTCTTGTGTTATTTGTCAAACCGCGAAACATCAATTTCATTGACATTACGTGCGACCATTTGGTGTAAGTGCGTTCCGAATGAGGAAGAACAAATAAAATGTAAGAATGCTAAATGAGAATAGCAAAAAAACAATTGAAGATATTTCACTGAGTGCAAAAGAAAAAGTAGTATAAGAAAGTGAAGAAGACTAATGTGCAACAAAATGACAGTTAGACAGGTGTGAAAATATTTGTTGGCCTTAAAAAGCCACTGGCGTGTTTGATAAGGCTGTGAGCAGTAGAGAATTTCACTTATTTTCGAAGTACTTTACTAGAAAATATATGTATCTAATAAACGGGATATGTGTAGCTTGGAGTTACATAAATAGTTGACTTTTTGACCAAGGAAAAGCTGAATTAGATTAATGACCAGGGAGCGTGATGTGTAATAGGTAAATTTGTAGTTGTTTCAGCCCAAAGAACTCCACTCTTGACCAGTCCAAAATATCATAAGGCTGGTAAAACTATTCTAACTCAAAGCGCTGCACCAAGAGACGACCCAAAACTTAATCATTGCGACAACTCATGGGTGCGTTGAGGATTATGGAGTACTGTTATCTTTATGTTATGTTTAGTGCTTCATTGATACTTAATACCGATACCTAGAAATTCAATATTAGGGAAATGAGATTAGAAAGGGTTACGTGGTCTGGATTCTCTAAAGAGAGTGAATTTTCTTAGGTAATAGGCAGGGAACTCTTTAATGGAACGCCAAGTAGTTAGGCTAGGGGTTCTTTGCAAGAGAATAATCGGAAGCTGTAAGAACGATAAGGTGGGTAGAGTGATCTCGCATCATTTATAAGACTACACTACTTTGAAATCCAATTCCTAGGAGATATCACTCACGAAGATTTTTCTTTGATATCAAGCAAGGCCATCGAAACCAGGCAAGATACCGCCTTACATAAAACAGTATTTAGCTTCGACAGCTTGGAAATAATACTTCTTAGGTTGGATTTAACTCCAATACTATGATGTTACGACACCTGGGAAAACATTACTGATGGTCATGGTTCGATTCCTAGTTTGAGCCAGTCAAAAATTATAGACAAACAACTTTTGTAATTGCGGTCGGCCGCCGGCAGTCCATAATTTTTTACTGTCATGTAAAAAGATGGCAAGCTCAGCATCCGCTACGATCCGGATCAACTGGATCATTAAGTTTTATTGCATTGCACTTTTACAGTATTCTCCATAAACTTTAGTATTTCGGTTGCTTCGCCAATTTGGCATACAAGTCTTTGTCCAAACTCAACATCAATCATTTCATGATAACTGAAAATTCAACTGAGTTCAGACGAGCGTGTTCAACTAGACTCACTGAGGAGAGTCGTAAATTATTCCCGAATGCTTCAAATATCGACTCTTCTTGACAATTGCATTCGAATCACTTTGCTCGTACACCAAAAACATAATTAAATGTTAATTTAATCGAATCGCCAACATTTGTGAAAGTCATTTATTAAAGACCCCCAAAAGAAGATGATCAAATAAACCTCTATCGCTTTTCCAGCATAAATACATACATATATGCATGTGTTAGAGAAAATGTGGCTCTATAACTCGCGGTGTATGTTTGTGTGACTCGCAATGGTTGAATTGGCAGCATAAAATGAACATAATGACCACCAGTTCACTCATTGTTCGCCGCGGGCAACAGTTGTATTGTATTTTATATGAAAATTTATGTATTGTAAATATGTATTGGACTAGTACAATTGTGGGTAATGGGTATTTAAATATTAAAATTTATTATCCCTTCAAATATGCTACGCAAATAAAATCAGAAATGCGCATTAAAAGTTTATAGCAAGTCGGCTGGCAGCAGGCAGCAAGCAGCAGGCAGCGTGTGAATGGCCACAATCAGTTTGCAGCTAAGCAAAGAAATCACAGAAATCGCGACGGTGGTGGTGGCGATGGGGGCTGCCAAACAACCAAACTTAACCCCCACCGGTTGGTTATCAACATTGACACTGTCACTTAGAGTTTTTATGTGGGGCGGCGGGTGAAAGGGTAACTAAGCCGCACTTTACGCTCATTATAATCCGCCATTTGTGACGTTTGTGAGTGCTTTTGTGCAAAGCGGTCTATTAAAGGCTTAGTCCATGCCAGCGTGTGAAGTGCGCTTGCATGACTACTCGCATTTGTGGGTGACTGGATGGATGGTGGTTGCGTTGTTTGCGCTAAGTTGCGGAAATCCATCACGGCTGTAGTGGTCATTAGATACATTTTATAATACATTTATGTGAATGCGTCGGCCGATCTAATATACGTGTTGGCTACGCATCGCGAGGGCAGAGTTTATGTGAGTTTATGACTGTGTAATTTTTGGCTTTTATTTGGTGGCGGGGGAGCCATTTGCTACTGTAGACTCAATTTATGGAAAATATTGTTGTTGCTTTGTTTTACGTTCAACTCCGCAGCGCGTAGCTGTACATTGCGATTTAATTATGCATTTATAAATTTAATTGTCATTTATGTTTACAGTTTGTGACCACTGTTGACTAACAGTAAATACGGTGACAGTATATGATAGGCGTTTGCGTAACCCATGGATGCTGCATAGACGATCATATCAAGCAATAATTGGGCGTATCATATAGAACTTGGTTTATCAGTCACGATGAGCACTTTCTCAATAAGAGCCCTAGACTCATCATCGACAGTCCTCCAATTAACACCGGATTTGGCCCCATGGGAGTTTTTTTGCTTCCAAATCTCAAATTACCAATCCGTGGAACCCGTTCCGACTTGAGGCCGTAAAAGAAAATTCGCAAAGGGAACCGAGCTCGACTGATTTCAACAGCTGCTGCAAACAAACTGGTTGGCAGATCGCGCTCACTTTTGGTATAGTAACTGAAGACTTAACAAGGAAAAAGTGCTGAAAAATATCTAGCGCGGGCAGTTTAAATCACAATTTCTGGAAAGCCTATGTTTTTAATGTAGAAGTGATGCATGAATTAGCTCTAGGAGCAAGACGCCTAAATTTTCTGCACAATTGGATAAAGTCCTCGAATTGTGAAGCACATATCAGCATTCAAAAAATATATCTCAACTCGGGGTAAGGCAGCAAAGCAACCGGGGAATCGGAAACCTTCTACCGGGTATATACCGCCTGGTAAGGAAGGTCAGGAAGACTGGACCGAAGACGGGCTTTTGTCTTTACTGAAGGCTATTTATGTGTGGCGAGGTCAAGAGAAAGGTTATTCTATGACCACTCCATTAGCCAAAGTAGTCACAAACTTAATCTGCTTAGCAGAGATTGCAGGCATTACAGTAGGTGTCAAGTGGGCAACCACTCGAATAGGAAAATTCAACCGAATAATTAATGCATAGATATTAAACATTTTGATTTAGCTTTTTCGTAGAAGTAAACTTTTTTTTTTGAATTAAAAAATTCAAAATTTTTAATGTACCAAAAACAGTTGGTTATCATGCGACGATAACGCTACAAATTGGCAGCAGCAGTGTCGTCGATTTCATAGAAGTAATGTCCCATTACACCTCCAGGCCAAAGACCGTACCGGACAATAAGTGAAAAATATGTCGTTGGGAGAATTTTTTTTAAGCAAACAATCGAATTATGGACGGCTTTAGTTGCTGCGTCAGATAGACTTTTAATGAATATAGATGTAAGTCCAACTGCAAAATATGCCAAAATAAGATGGAACGAGCAAAAGGATGACTACAGGCCTTACAATATCTGTAGCCTATCCTGTTTCCTCAAATCACTTTGAAATTTCGGAAATTGCATGAGATGGACACCATAATCTCTTCAAAAAGCAAGAGACGTGACCTCTTTTAAATCACCCTTTTTTATCCGATTTTCGACTAAAATAAAATATTTTTTGTTTAACAGTTTTAAGCCTGGCTGATGACAAAGCGCTTTCCTACACTCTTCGCACCACAAAATGGATAACCCGAGATTTTTTAGTTTGATTTGGAAGGTCATAGATTGTAGATGTTTCAAAAAAATATCAAACCATTTTTTATTTAACTTGAATTTTGACTTTCAACAGGAAAATTCCTACAACACAGTTCAAGAGGAATTAAATTATTGCTCGACATCAAAGAAGTATGGCAACCTTCAAATATGCGTCACTCCATAATGCTTTTAACACTAAATCAATCTACTACATTTTACAAAATACTCCAGTATTTCTTTTTCATATTGCTCAATTTTCACTCTACAACTTAATCACTTAGGAAAATAATCAATGAGGAATAATATGCTAATTCATTTAGATTAATAACTTAATTTTGTTTTTACTTACGTCAGCAATTGCGTTGTATCGCGTTCGATTTGGAATAGATTTCGCGATGTGTAATCGTTAAAATTCGATATGGCCTTGCTGATGTCTTTGCTGCCATCGATGACCGCTTGATTTTTACCCCACGTCTCAATGTACACCACTGATACGCGGGTATTTAGTGTGCGAAAGTACTACAAAGAAACGGAAAGATTATTAAATTTTTTAAAGAGTTGTTAATTTTTTTTTAAAAGATTTATTGAATATCAAAAACTATTTGTTTGAGATTAGAGTAGTCAGCAACTAGACAACTTTTTTTGTTATAAATGGTGAAATATCGGTAGTATAAGAAAAGGAGAGGCAGTGCAATGTCTACCAGCTGACTCTTAGTGAGGTATGTGAAGGCAACACTTTTTAATTCTTAATGTAATTTTCTTTTGAATGGAACACCGGAAAACCGAATAGATTTGCTACAGAGGCCGAAGCATGGGAACTTATTTATTTATGGAATATTCTTCGAGAAATTCGTTACGAAAATCCTGACGGAGCTTTCGGTGCTGTTTAATGTCAGCTTGGACAGTTTTGCTGGTATACTAAATTCAGTCAAAGCGGAGTAGAAGCAACTTCTTCTCGTGATGGCAAAGGCTGCTATTTTTCTGGACCTGTCACAAGCGAGCCGCAATGCAATTACTCTGAATTCTGAATTAAAGTCAACCTTGGAAGAACTGCTGTAAAGGATATGACAAAATGGTATCTATAGCAAAAGTATACAATATTTGTTTCGAATATATTTTTTTCACGAATAGAAATGAACAGAAAACACCAACGCTCGCGATCAGAGAGTCACATCTGCCTTTAGAGACGACTTGAAACTGTGAAATCCTCTTTCCGATGCTCAAACATGAGCATAAGATTACCAGCCCACTTCAGCATCTTCCAAATAGAAGTCTTTGAAGTCATGGAAGCCACCGAGTGGTTGCTCAGATCTACAGCAGAAAAATATCCGAAAGTCAAGCTGCTTCAAGACCTCTTACCATGTAACAGTTGTAGCTGTTGGGGCGGAGAAGAAGGAGAGGCTATTGAACACTACTTCAGCCATTTTCCAGCCATCACATCTGTGAAAAACAAGTTTCGCGGGAAACATTTAATCGATTGTCTCGATGAGGTCGCTGAGTGGTGAATATCTGGTCAGTGGTGAATTGCCAAGTCTTAAGCCACACTGATAAGGCGCAATCAATTTGTCGACGATTGAGGGGCTTAATCCATTGTAATTGGTCTTGTGTACAGAGTCTCTATTTTGTGGATTGGGTAATGTTTAATCCGCAAAATTAATGGCAACGTAGTACGAGCTTTCCTTAAAAAGTTCAAATAGCACTCTTTTTATCAGCTTGTTTTGTTGCCGTTTGCTTCTAGCACACTTCTTTGTAGACACACGAAAAGGAAATTTGCAGAATCACCACCGCAGTAAGTTGGTTTCCATAAAAATTTTAAATAAACATATTATTAATTAGAAATTGTGATTTATTTATTTAAACCTTGTAGCGGATACCAGGGCAGCTATAAACTGAGCTAACCAGATAGTGTACACTTAGGCACCTTATCAGCTCTCCACCGCCGGCTGGTGATCCACTGGATCCGCCGCCTCGGTGTTTTTTCAACTGGTCAATTACTATTGGAACATCTTCACAGTCAGGCATCGATTGGGGAATCGGGTTCGCCATCTCCTGGTTTTACATTTTCACTGCCATTCAGTAGGCTGGAAAAGTACTCCTACCATGAACTCACTACACTCTTGGCGTAGTCGTTAAATGACTTCTTTAGGTCTCACAACAGGTTTCTCCGTTTTAGAAACCTTCATTAGGTGACCGCATCTTCACACTCACACATCTCGGTAACTTCCTTTTTTGTGTCATGAGATATTTTATATTTATGTATGCGACTTGATGTTGAAAGAGGAAGATTGGTAAACAAGTCCCAGTACATAAATTTAAAATAAATGAAGTTTTATGTAAATCTATCATTTTCTGTATCATCTCCAGATAAATCTTACGCTGCAGCTATTCATAAGCACACGTCATTACATACAAACAAAATATAGGCAGCTAATAGAAAATTTCAGCTTAAAGAGAAGACAATAAAGACTATCATCAACAGTAGGATGACTTGTACACTGCAAAAATGTTTTGAAAAATATGTATACAACAACAAACAATGAAAGCTGCCAACAAGCTTGTGGACCAAACTTACACGCCGTTGACGATGCCTAACTAATGACCTAATGAATACCGACAGTGACTTGGGTAATAAATAAAATGGATTTACGGGCAACTAGTAGCATGTATGTATATATGTATGCATGTATGTGTGGGTGTGTGTGTGTGTGTATGTATAAAGAATGTACAATAGAAAAATATAAGAGCACAGGTAAGCACAAAGGAAAAGGGAAGTAAAATTTCAAGGCAGACTGCGCAGCTAAGACAGGGAAATAAATTGAGAGACATAGCTCAAGTTATTGTGTACCTATGTACACATATATAAAAGCATATATATGTATGTATGTATAGATTTGAATAATGCCTTTGTGTGAGCGATGGGTGAGTGATTCCTGGGCTAGTTAGTAGGCTCTTAAAATAGGTATAAAAACAAATTTGTGCTCGTAAGTCAAAGAATTGCACAGAAAGTGCTGTGTCTCCACGTGTAACTTTGCCTCTTTACGCACACATGCATAGGCAAAATTACTGAAAGCACAAGATAAGCACCTGAAATACTGCATACACGTTGATAAAAATTTGTTTGCATGCGAGTTTGCTTTAAACACCATTGTTGTTGCGCCGAGTTGCGGTCATTCATTGTGCCGGTAGAACAATACCTAAGGAGTATAATTTGCTGCATGGGAATGCTGCACGTGTACGATAACACACACATGCGTATGAACGTGTGGTTTTTTGCTCTAATTCGTTGCTTAAATAGGTTTAAGGCCAGCTATTAGTGCGGGTCAATCACAAAGGATAAAAAAGTTACATTTTGGTAATTAAATTGAAAAGGATTTTTCGGTTTGAGAATCTGACTGATGGTTTTTTAAGAGGAGTCTTTATTTCGTGTCAGAAATAGACACAGAGGGGTTGACATTCCTTGCCGAGGGGCAAGCGTAATCAGAAAATTTAATTTTTTTTTTGGAGATTACAACTGAAAACATATTCTCTTTGGCAAGAGTTGCCACACAATTTTTTTTCCAAATTTACTAAAAAAAAAGGTTCGTAAAAAATGTTTAAAAGGCTTCAACTAAAATTTCTTCTAGGCGTTACCACCTATTTATAAATTCTACTCTTTTCTTTTATGTAACTTTGATTTGTTTCAAATGACACTGCACAGTAGACACTCGGCTGGTATTTATAATTATTTCACAGAGTGGTCAAAAAAAGAAAATCTGTCCCCATTTATGAACCTTCACATGTCAGCCGTTTTTGTTAAGGTTTTAGTTCCCACTAAAAGTAGTTTACCTACATACATATTTGATGTTCATTAATGCTCTAAACATTCGAACTTGAGTCAAGCGACGGGTGGAAAATAAAAATTTCGAACTCATGCTGGGGTGGTATCTCCGCATGTACAGTTGTGAGTACCTTCTGGCCCAAAGGACACTGTTGAAAGTCACTGGATCCAAACTCTCGCACCAAGTGTGAGTTCTGACTGGCATTGTCCATCGGCGTATTCCGTTGTAACGCTTGCATTTTTCCGAATATCCACTAGCGTAGTTGTCTAGAAGAAGAGATGATACTATCTATGCACTTTCTCATAAACTCTCCCGCCTTTGTGAGGCAAAGACACTGAGTGATTCACTAATTGACGTATTGAATATTTCTACTAATTTTGGAATTCCAGAACAATTCTTATGCGTCTATGTGAAGTCATTTTGAGATCAGTGTAGTTGCTGCACTGAGAACATTCACTCTCTACTGCTTTGACCGCTAATGATACTTTTTTAGATGCCCACAGAAGGCGGAGTTCATTAGATATTCTTGTTAACCAATATATCACTCCCAAACAGAAATTTTCGTCTATAGGGCAGAGTTACGTATCATACAATAGAGTCCACAAAGTAATAATGTCTAATTAAGATGATTAACTGGGCTGGAAGCAATATACAAAGAAAGGCTTAGTGTAACCCTCCAATGCTCAAAAATTCAAATCGTGATTGACTTAGAAAACCATTGTCTGCGGATCCTCTATAAAGTCGCGGTAGTACTCCAACCATTTGGCAGCAAGAGCTCCATCAATAGTTCTCTGATCTTCACTGATTGTAACGTTGACAGATTCGATTATCTCTTTACATAAAGGGGCTTGCAGCAGAATCGAAATCTAATGCGGAAACTTCCTTTCCATCAGGTGGTAAATACTTTGGTAGCTGTTGAAAAGTTAAGTCCAGCAAAACCCAAAACTTACAAGTCAGTTATAGTTGTTCTCCAATGTAGCAGAAGTGTGAACGTTGTGGACTTCCAATGAAACGGCTCCAGGAGTTCTCGAGAGGAAGATTTTGCGGAAATTTTATGATTCTCTAGTATGAAATGGCAATATTCACATAGTGCAATAAAAGACAGAGCTTACGGTGGCTAGGTCCGGAAGAATCAAATGACGCCGTTTGAAAGTAGGCGATGCTGTACCCGCTGTCGAAAGCAGATGAAAGCTTTCTATCCGATAGAAGGACTATCCCCACTTGGTATCCCCAATTGGCGCTGAAACGGTGTTGGCCTTGATGGTTTTCCAGCCAAAAGATGAACCTACAGCTTACTCTAAGCGATTTCTGAACGGCTGATGACTCGAGGGGCTAGAAACTCTCCGGTAAAGGGTGCGTCCACCGCTCTGACATGAAAAAACCCATCAGCCGTTCGAAGGGCTCTTAATATGAACTGTAGGTCCCTCCATGTGTTGGAAATACACAAATTGAAGGAGGAGCCTCGGCCGAAAATTGCTACAGCGGTTACAAAGCGGTAAATATATCTAACATTTTAGATAGAGCTCAAACCCTGCACATCCGAATAGTAGTCGCACTATAAGCCTCCCAGCTTTATGGACAGGAAAAAAGAAGCTTTCTTAAATTATGAATAATTAAAATAGAAGAATTGCCAAGGATAGCTTAAGGGCTTAAGGGTTTTAGCGACGAAGCATAAGAGTCTGTCGAATATTGAGACGCCGG